TGTAGTTCCCTGTGGTTCTGTAGTTATGGACAGTTGTTAGCTGCCATGTGGGTGCTGGGATTCGAACCCGGGTCTTCTGCAAGAACAACTAGTGTTCTTAACCGCTGAGCCATCTCTCCAGCCCAACACAGTAGTTATCTTAAGGGTATATTTGTTATGGCCTCGAAAATGCTGGAGATGAATCTATTCTATACATATTAAATTTATTATTTAAAAATATTTTATTTTTTATTTTTATGTGTATGAGTGTATTGCCTACATGTATGTAACTGCACCCATGTTGTGCAATGCCACCATGTGGGTGCTGGGAATCTAACCTGGGTCCTCTGCAAGAGTAGCAAGTGCTCTTAACCTCTGAGTCATCTCTCCTCCAGCCCTTAAGTTAAATTTAAATGAAGCACCCAGATGCTTCAAGGACTAGACAATGTACCTTTAAATGAAAAAAGAGGCTAAATAATAATTTAAAAAATGAATGGTACAAATATGAACATATAAGTAGAGACACTCAGAAATGAAATACAAAAATCAGATGGAGAAAAATCAAACAACACTCAAGACAGGAGAGAAATGTCTTCATTGAACCCATCCTTTTTGTTGTTGTTGTTGTTGTCTGAGATAGGGTCTCCTTGTAGCCCCAGTTGGCCTGGAACTCACTATATAGATCAGGCTGGCCTCGATCTCAGAGCTATCCACCTGCCTTGGCCTCCTGAGTGATAGGATTAAAGGTGTGCCCTGCCATGCCTGTCCTGGCCTATGGTTTTATTTTGCAAATGCCATGTCACGATGTTTAACACTGATTACGTATTTTTATGCACAACAATAGCAAGAAGGTTGTGAATTTCAGAGAGATCAACTATGTAATATGTTTGGACTTAAAGAAAGTCCAGAATTGGGCACTAAAAATGCTTTCAGTAAATGTTGAATAAGTGAAATTTTTTTTTTTTTTTTTTGTCTTTTTGAGACAGGGTCTCCCTGTAGCCCCAACTGGTTTGGAACTCAGTAAGGTAGACCAGGCTGGCCTTGAATTCACAGAGATCCACCTGCCTCTGTCACCTGAGTGCTGGGACTAAAGGTGTGTGCCACCACACCCAGCTGAATAAGTGAATTTTAAAGAATCCAGAACAAGAGATCTGAACAACCAATACTATAATAGGGGCAGAGAGTCACGTGGATCAGAATGAGACACATTCTTATCCTAGGGCCTGGATTTGCCCCCTCCAAAACTCACAATGGAAACAAACCCTGCAGTCCTGTCCATGGTACTTTGAGGTGGGGCTTTACTCAAGGTTACATTAATGTTTTATAAGAGGAAGATACACCCAAGTTAGCAAACCTGCTGTGTCTCATCATGGAGCCCCTATTGGCAGGAAGCCCCTTCCTAGACACGCCCTCAAGAACTTGCTTCCAGAACTGTGAGCTTAAAGAAACCTTTATTCTTTATAAACTACTCAATCTGTAGCATTCAGTTATAATACGTAACACACAAAGACACTGCTTGGAGGAAGTCTGTGGTATACTCAGGGTAAGCTAAGAGAAAGGGGGCTCTAACATGCACATGTAGGAACTTGTGTATTCTCACCTTAAACATACCACACCATATGGAGGCAGGGTCTACACATGAAACTGAGGGCCTAGGAGGCTAAGTAAAAGGAACATGTATACAGGTAGCAAGTGCAGAGTAAGACTAAGAGCAAAAGCATGTCTCTAAAGTTATACTTTTCTGCTATATCACGGTATCATTAATGCCACTTCCAGTACTAAGAAAATAAGTCATTACTTCTTTACCCACAAAAAAGTGTTGCTGGGCTGGTGAGATGGTTCAGTGGATAAAGGTGCTTGCTGAAAAGCCTGACAATGTGAGTTTGATCCCCGGAACCAATATGGTGGAAGGAGAGAACTGACTACCACAAATGGGCCTCTGACTTCCTCAAGTGCTCAATGGTATAGGTAACTCTCTCCCTCAGCTAAATAATGTGTAAAAAGGCCTTGCCCCACACCCATACCTGTTTCATATCTTCCCCGCCTAACTCTCAGGACAAAGGCTAGGTGAAGAAAGAGGAGTAGAAAGATAGAAAACAGTGAAATAAAAGACTGACACCGAGAATACATCAAGTACACCTATAAAAGCCAAACAAAAGCAAAATAAAGGAGATAAATGAGCAATTTATAGACAAAACCCCAAACACACACACACACACACACACACACACACACACGCATGCACGGACGCACGCACGCACACAGATAATAAATAGAAAATAGCTGACTGGTAGTCAGGGCCTGACCAAAGAGAATGCGGATACATTGGCGGGCAGACTTCGTAGGATTTGCCACGAATCAGTGGCAAGTGAAAGGGGGCAGGGAGGTGGAAACTGTCTTGGTTACTTTGTTGTCAACCCCCAAGAAGAGAGACCCTCAACTGAGGAATTGTCTCATCAGATTGGTCTGTGGGCCTATCTGTTGGGCATTTTCTTGGTTGCTAATTGATGTAGGATGGCTCAGCCCACCCCTGGCCAGATAGGCCTGGGCTATGTAAGAAAGGTAGCTGAGCCAGCCAGAGGAAGCAAGCCAGTGAGTGGCATTCCTCCATATCCCTCAAGCCTTGGCTTCCCTCCGTGATGGACTGTCATCCATAAGCTGAAATAAACATTTTGAGTTGCTTTTGGTTACAGTGTTTATCACAGCAACAGAAAAGCAAACTAAGACATAAAATTCTCGGGTTTCTTTGGGCCATACATCCTCAATAGATTAGTACAGTTCATGAAGGACAGGTTAGGCACCATCCAACTTATGGTTCAGAGGCAACAAGTCTATATGCCCCTTAGCACGATCCCCCCAGATACCTGTGAGCTGGCCGACCAGAATCCATGATT